GTTGTTTGGCTGGCAAGCGAGGGCGCAATCCGACTCTGTGACGTTCCTCGTTCTCCTCGGGGGACACAAAAGAGGAAGGAGAGGGAGGGGGAGGGGGGGGGAAGGTCCCAAGTCGCTCCAGTAAGTCACTCCTGTTGCTTTTTCTCCCAAGGAACCTCACTACAGACTACAAGGTCCCAGGGAACTCATGCTCCATAGCAACCCGCTGCCTGTCTGTAGTGAGTGTCTGCAGCAGCCCCCCACCCGCACATGGCCTCTGCCTGCAGTACCCCTCCCCTGCAGCACCCCCATGCTCCTTACCTGGGACTCCCGCCACTTCCTGCTTAACAACCTGTGCGGTCCTAGGGTTACGACGGCAACAGAGACTGCCGGGATTGCCGTCACTAAGCGATGCGGTCACATGACATCACACTTTATGACCGCATCGCTCAGCGACAGCAATCCTGGTCCCCACTGCCGTCATAACCCAAGGATTATCTGTATTTCTTCAGTGGTGGGACCCACAGCAAGTCTCTTCTCCCAGATCTTTTTGGAGAGGTGCTAAGCTGCCTCTCCCACCACCACCCCCAAAATCAACACAACCCGTGTTTAAATTGTGTTGCTCCTCCTCCTCAGTCCATTTGACCCTTTTCAGATGCGGTCCTGGACTCACCGCCTCTCTATCAGCTCGCTGGTGATGGACCACACGCAGGTTCCCGGCAGGACGTCCCGATCAAAGACGCAGAGCTTCAGCTTGTATTCCGTTTGCTCCAGTTCCCGGATCATCTCCTGCACAAAGGGAATGTCATTCTGGCAGTAACAGATGAAGGCGTCAAAGAGCTCAGGGGACTGCCCTGCCGAAAAGGAAGAAAACAAACGGGACGACATGAGCACCAGCACTGGTACCAGCCACCAGCATGGCCAAAATGCCAATTGATGTGGCACGATGCCATTGTGCAAACGGTGGGAGTTACATACTGGCCAGCAATTCATGTCCTCTGCAGGAGAACATCATGTCACACGTTATCCCTTGCGCCCTCTTGCCTCCCCTAGTACGGGGAGGAGAGGAACAAGGTAGCCTCATTGTCTTTTGTGAAGTACTGACCCCTCCAGACCTTTGTGTATCATGGTCAGCCCCTTGGTTTGCTTCTGGCTTACAGTGTACAAACCCATTTCTTGTTGCTCATAAATCACCATTTAGGGCTTAGCACAGTGTTTCTCAACCTCAGCCACATTAAGATATGTGGACTTCAACTCCCAGAATCCCCCAGCCAGCATGATAAGCAAGCCAGGCCACCATGGCTTGTTCCACCACATCAGCAAAATAAACCATGGTTTACTGTGATAAACCACAGAAGTCCTAAACCAGCTTTCTTTGATCTGGTCCCCTCCAGAGGTGTTAGACCTCAAAGCCTAGCATTCCCAGCCTCCGGGGCCACAGAATCTTGGGAACTGAATCCAACATCTCTGTAAGGAAATGTAAGATTATTTCTCCCATTGATAACGTGACTAATAACTAAAAAGCAAAGTCAGGGCCAGGCTGGCTGACTTCTCAGAAGGGACTAGCCTCTTCTCTCTCACACCAAAAGTGCAGAAGGAAGAAGGCCAGCATCTAACGGCTTTGAATAGCCCGCAAATAGGTCCCACCCTTGAAAGCACATTACTTGCTAGAATTCTTGGGTGATCACATCAACCTTTTTCCTCATCAGCCTTACGATTGTTCCTTTGCTGTTTCTCCAGCCCCGACTGGTGCTAGAACGGCGCTGAGTTGGGGAAATCTAGGATAAACCGAGCATTTCCTCATCCACCCAAACCGATTTTGGCTGAATGGCTGGAAAGGCATTTAACATTCTGTGGCAGGTACTTTTCCTCAGCTAGAGTATTTGCACACACAGCAGCTCGGCCAACAGCTGGAAAGAGCCCCCAAAAGAAGATACATACACCCCAACTGTGAGAGACAGTTTGGTGTCGTGAGGAAGACTGGCACTGAGTTGAACTAGGTTAAAGTCCCACTTTCACCAACTTCAACCATGAAAGATTCCTGGCTGACTTTGGGCCAGTCTCTCTTTCTTTCTCTGCCTCACCTACCTCACAGGGTTGTTGTTCTGGGGAAGAAGACCAGGAGAGAGCACTGGGCACACAGTGCCTTGAGCTCCTGAAGGAAAAGCAGGATATAAAACAAACAAAGAAGTAAATGAATGCGGTCTGCTTGCTGGAAACTTAGAGCGTTGTGCAAATCCAGTTTGTATGACCCAAGTCAACTGTGGTTTATTCACGAAACCAGGATTAGGATAACCATGGCTTAGCTTGTTGCCTCCCCCCAGCTCTCCAAACACAATACCAAATAGTAGAAACAACTCTGGGCCATTCAAATCCTGACGGGCAGGGGAAGGAGACATCAAGCAGGGCTAACCCAGAATAAACAGATGTTCTCATTCTCTACAAGGAGCAATAACATCTGAGGCCACGGATAAACTTGTCCGTCCCCTTCCTTCTGGCAGAGCTCTTCCACAAGGGGGTGCACAACAAACTGATTTCAACCAGCCTACTGGAGAGAAATGCCATAAGCTGGCTTGCACATCACACTAACCCACAGTTTGGGCTTCCATACACAAGCCACAACTGGCTCCATACACAAACCATTAATAAACCACAATTGGCTCCATACCCAAAGTATAACTAGACCACAGCTGGCTTCAGACATGAACCGTAAATAAATAAATTAAAATTAAAATTAATTTTTTTTAATTGTGGTGATGTTTTTATTTTAATAATAACTTTTTATAATGCTTGTTTTTATTCACTTGTTATTTTATTTAATTGTTGTATGCTGCCCAGAGTCGCTTTGTGGGAGATGGGCGGCTATATAAATGTGACATATCAATAAATAAACCACAACTGACTTTGCAAACAGACCACAGTCATCGGGGGGGCTCAGCACCTCCTAAGCCAATACAAAAGGATCCCTATTAGAGTTTGTTGTAATGTATGAACTAGCTCAGTGTTGTCCAAACTTGGCCCCTTTAAGATGAGTGGACTTCAACTCCCAGAATTCCCCA